TCTTGGATGCTCTTGGCTCTATCAGCTGGTCTCTGCTGCTGTCTGCAGCTCGCTGGTGTTTGTGTTATTTGCAGAGGGAGTCTGAACCCGGCTGGTTTTGTGTGTCTGTTGTGTAACTGTGAGCCGGCCGTAACCCGAGCAGGCTGCAGAACCGGCTGCTGTTTACCGAGTCAACAGTCTGGTTCAGAGCAGAGGGAGGACTGGAAACCAAACATGTGCATAAAGACACACACTCATCCCAGTGAAGCACTTTGTGATGAACTGGAGGTGAATCGATCAGAAACATGCAGTTTAATTTGGTTTAGTTAATAAACAAAGAGGACAAAGAGCTTCAGTCTGGACCTCTGGACCTCTGGACCTCTGGACCTCTGGTACCGCTGCTGCTGTAAAGGACGTCTTCTGTTAAAGTCACAACGACTCCGTTTATCGGCCAGAAAATGAAAGAATTTGTCGGCAAAATGAACAAATCTGAGCCTAAAACTCGTGTTTGGTTTTGCTTTGAGCAGATTCAGTAAAATGTAAAAGTTCTGAGCTGCGACCCAAAGACGGATGAAGCCGTCACTGGTTAAACAAACACGTGATGTTCTGATGAAGGTTCAGACTGCTGGGCTTATCACCGCCGACCTGCTTCTGACCAAACCCCGTTGACTCTGACGGTCCAGAGTCCAGCTGAGCGGCTTCACCTGGTTCTGGTCTCACCACCAGTCCAGAACCCAGAACCTGTTAAATGTTCTGTTTCATGTCTTCAGTCGTGGAAATGTTTCAGAAGAAAACAACGTTTTATCTGAAGACATTTTAATATCTCCACAAACAAACGTCCTACAGACTTGGACCTCCAACCAGGCTGGTGCTGATCCAGAAAGCTCCTGTCAGTGTCTGTCTATGGATGGATCCATGGTTCTACTAGAACCCAGTCTCTGGTCACATCTCACCACCTGTTGAGGCTCTAACATCAGCAGAACCTGTCAGAGTTGGACCAGATGAGGTTCTGGTTTCAGACAAAATGCAGCAGCACGGTTCTGGTCTGAACACAGCGGGCCTTCAGACAGAACCGACTAGAAGCAGTGAACAGAGGGTTTAATGATGAACCGGGTCGACTGCTGTTAAACGTTTAGAACCAGAACATAGAGAGGTTCTGTTTGATCACCAGAAAACTTCCTTTTTTATTTTCTATTAGCTGAGAGTCAACAACAACAACAACAACAATAAACAACAACAACAACAACAACAACAACAACAACAATAATAATAATAATAATAATAATAATAATAATAATAATAATAATGACCCACATTAGGAGTCACGGTGTGAATGAACGGGTCGGTGGGTGTCGGCAGCAGAACCAACCAGAGCTTCTTCCATTTCCCTGTTCAGACCCGGAACATTCTGATAGCTCGACCGAACCCGTCCACACCCACCGGACCGGAGCGGGTCTGGTCCGGAGACTCACCTGCGGCGCAGCTCTCGTTGTTCGCGCGAACCTCCAGCATCTCCGACGATCCGCTGAACGCACCGAAGCCGACGGACGGAGCAGGAGCGGGTCTACACGGAGCCCGGAGCCCCGGACACGCTCAGCAGAACCCGGGAAGCCGCCGCTCGGAGGGTCGCTGCCTTCACGCGCAGCTCCGGCAGGTGACCGCACCTGGCCCCGCCCCCTGCAGGTGTCAGCCGGAAGCTGCGCACTGGAGCCAGAAATCCTCCGTCACCTGACAGGAATTCAGCCGCGGAACCTAAAAACAAGGAGCAGAAACCGTCTGATCAGAACCGCCTGAGTCCACCTGCGGGTCCTGAAGCAGCCTCCTGTGGTCACGTGTTTGTGGAAACTGCAGCCTGTAAACAAACAACAACAAAATAAAGCAGCTGTTAGAAAGCTCCAACATGAAGCCAACAAACAAACAAACAAACAAACAGTAAACAGACCAGAACTGTAAACAGTGTTCATGATTTACTCATTTATTTAAAAAACAAATAAAAACAACAACCTGTCCTCCAATCAGAGGATGACGTCGTGGATCATCACTTCTTTGATTGGCTCTCAGCCCTTCTACCTGATCACTGCTGCTCCAGGCTGGTTTCATGTTTTGTGGTCAGGAGCTCCGTCACTGACTTCTTCATAAACATCCGTCATAGGCGGCTTTAAAAGAGCAACCAGCTGAACACAGACGCCTAACCCTCAGACTCCAGACGTTCACTGTCAAGCTTGTTCTTTGGAGACTCGATGGTAATGAACACAACGATCAGACAGATTCTAATCTAAGCGACAGACGTGATGAAGGTGGTGCGTGGACACGTCGTCTGGTTTCTTCTGGAGCTTTAATGTTGAATGTTTTCACTTTCACAGCAACGAGAGACGTTCAAGAGTCAGATTCTGGTTTTAATTAAATGTCTCGTTACTGTTCATCATGAAGAACGCTCCTCATGGGAACAAAAATCCTCCTAAAAACCTTCAACATGAAGGTGGAGGTCCTGCAGAGGACTTTG